AAACTCAAAACAAACACAAGGAGACACTAACCGAGCAGCGCGGGCCAAAGGAACCCGAGCCGGGCACAGACGGGCCGCTGAGACTGAGACTGAGACTGAGAGGGGTAGCATAAGTATTTGTAGATAGGCAAACATATGGCTGACTGAATGCACAATGTAATGGCAGAGACGCACACACACAGATACATATTTAGCTGCCACAGCAATTGCAGTTGCAGCTGTATCTGTGTGCACAAACATATGCGTGGCGCCCAAAAAACTACAAAAACAAAAATTGTAAATTTACAACTTAAAAAATTTGTCAGAACAAGTTATTATCAAATGCTCATCACAAACAAGCAAACAAACAAATAAGCAAACAGGCAAGCGAAACAAAACAAAAGTATCTCACAGATACACACGCACACACATGTAGTTCAGATGCAGATACGATTGACTGGCGCCCAAGCCAAAAGGAGCAATCGCGATTCGAGCAGCTGCTTTCATAGCATGAAAAGGGGGTGGGGTAAACAAACATACCTATATATTCCATTGTCATGGCCACTTTGTTTTTCAAAACCAATAAAAGGCACATAAAAAAGCGATGGGAAACATAGACGAAAGATAGAAGCTGTTGGGAAACAATAGATTTATATTTGGGATGGAAACTAAAAAGTCTTTGAACAGAACGATTTTCGGGCATGGAAATTAAAAGCTGGGTCGAGCCAGTGCAAATGTGGTGTTTCAATATTTAATTGAACACAATCCTAACCCAAAACAAGTTAAGCTAGATAAATGTTAGCATAAGCGAGACCCATACCAGAAACATTTTTGAAAAATAAATTGGTTTTAAATCATTTTATTTATTTAATTTTATTTCCTTATATTTGAACATATTTTTGCAAATTTTTGTAGTTTTAAACATTGCTCTAACCAATATCATATCGAATAAAATTATATACATTTTTAATAAGCCAAATTCGTAAAAGAAAAAAATATTTTTCGCAGCCAGAACTATAAATACCACATAAAGTATTATATAAAGCATGGAACTCAGATCTAACATAGTAACATATGGTTACCCTAGCTTAGGAATTCATTTCTAATATAAAGAAGACTTTTAATATAAAGAATAATATAATATAATAATAATAATGATGCTACGCGATGAACCGTAAGTAAAGCTTTAGCCATTGATCCAATCGATAAAATCGAGTTTTCCATGCCGTCAAGAACTATAACGATTAGCTTGTGGCAAACACATCAAATCCAAGTTGTGCGCCCCTTTTAGAAGCAGTCGCTGCGGGAATCACCTGCTGCATGTAGCCCCGCCCCGCCGCCGCTGCCAACCGCCTCTGAGCGTCGCCAAAGCGAATAAAACTTCAATTAGCAGCGCAAATCAAAGTCTGAGCCCCGCTAATGCCGCCAGACAAGAGCGGACAACAAAAACCCGAAACTGAAACCGAAACAGAACCAGAAGCCAAAAACCGAAGCAGCGTTCAAGTGGCCGCCAAAATAAATCCATCCCCCCCTCCCACCTCCTTTGACCAACTGTGCTTAGTTCCAGTATAAAAAAAACAATAGAAAACAAAGTTGGAAAAAAGTTAAAGCCGCGTGTCCAGCGACGTTGCGGGCATTAAATTGATAGAGAACCAAACGCGATGGCAACGTAAACAACAAAATTGTTGCTGCCAGCTAATGGTTGATAGAAGTTGCAAGGGGGGAGGTGGGTTGTGGCGTTGCACGCTGCCGCGATTTTTCGCCTTTGATAGAAAAACAATTTTTCTACTCCATTTCACGCGTTCAAGGCAGCAGCAGAAGCAGCAGCAGCAGCAGCAGCGGCAGCGAATCAATGGGCGCATTTCAGGCGTGGCAAGGCTTAGCATAAAAATTGTCAGGGGAGGGGGTCTGCGGGGGCTGTGGAGCTTGGGGTCGTGCTGGCAGCGTTCTCGAAGCGCTCGTCAGCGTAAAGATGCCACCAGACCGATAAACGCTAGAAATGAAATAACAATAAAAACAATTTTTTATACACATATCGAACCGAGCTAAGCCATTGCTCAAAAAAAGCAAGCTGTCCCGCTCCCTCTCTCTCTCTATCTCTCTCTCTCTCTATCTGTCTCTCTCACTCTAGCTGTCGCTCTCCACGGCCGGCGAAAGTTTTGCTTGTGTTTTACCCAATTTTCTATTGTTGCTGTTGCCATTCACTGACTTTTCTTACAGTGTAGTTTTTCAGTTCTTTTGGCTTTTCTTTTGAAAATTTGATCAATATTGCCCGCAATAATCAAATTCTTATGCAATAAAATTGGTAAGCTGATTTTGAACACAACAATTTACCCGTTTACTGATGAACGTGCTGTGGTGCTCATGATTATGGGCTAATTAGCATTCTGATCTACGGGATTTTTTATAGTTTTTTTAATTTTTTTTTTCTTCATTTCTTTTTTCCAATGTCAGCTCAAAATATTATTATAGCCTATTTATTTTGAGGCGGTACGTATCTATTTTTCCAATGTGGTCTTTAAAAACAAACAAGTTATATATATAAACAAAATGAAAATTTCTCATAACCAAAGTTAAATCACTTTGTTTCTCAGATATCTAACTAAAGCTCTTTAGTTACAATGGCCATTATCGTCTCAGTCATAAAAATTGTTTTACGATACCGGTCAAAACTTTAAATCTTCTTTATTTGCTCTAAAGAGGTTTTCCCAACAATTATTATTTGTTGTTTTATTATTATTCTATATTAATACTAAATTTATGTTCGTCTACCCCCAAAATGTATGCCTATGGCTCTTCAATTAAAATGCCCATTATCCTCTCATTATCCATCAATTATAATTATTTTTATTATTATTATTATTATTATTATAACTAGTATGACATTATAAATAGTATGACATATGACATATATTTATTATTATTATTAATATTGATAGTATTTTTATTTTTGTATAATTTTTTTTTGTTGTTTGTATTATTATTTTCCTAATTTAAATTAATTGGCTGCTAAGGTCTTCGATCCCGGATTGCCGTTGTTCAGTTGCCTTTCTTCTCGCCCTTGCTTGTAATTCTGTTGGGAAAAAAAATCGAAAAATGCTCATGAAAGAAAATGGCTTAAATAAGTATCCGCAAATGTTCAAAATACTGTCTTCTGCTTTCGTGTTTTCGGACTTGACAGAGATGATGCTTTCAGCCGCTTGTACAGTACTGGACATTGTTCTGAGACAAGTTGCGAGAATGCTAAACAGTTTTGTCAACAGAACAGAATTTGAAATTATATTTTTATGACAATTTAATGACTAATTCGAATAGTGAACATCATGTGCTCAAACCCAAACTCAGGCCAACTAAAGCTTCAGGTGACCTACAGCGCGTACGTTGACGCCAATGGGGAACTCAAAAGCCCACTTGGCCCTGAAAAGACCTAAACAAATGCCAACTTCCAGCCGACAACTGTCTAGTTGTGATGGCAGGTTTTATGTTGACGTAAAAGGTTAGTGAAACATTGAAAAAAAATACTTAATTGGAGTCGATTTGGATTTAAATAAATTTATACAAAGCTGGAATCCTTAAGTAAACACATTTAGGTATAAATGTTAACTGGTTATTTTTAGTATAAGGGCATATTTGATCAAACTGTTGACCAAAGTATTTTAAGATATGCATAGATTCGATTCATACTAAGCTTTTACCAAGCTCGGACCAACAGGGAGACGAGCATGTAATACTCAAGACAATCAATTTTCAAATGAATGTACCTTAGTGTAATCAGTCTCTCTCCTCTAGTCACTTCGAGTGTATTAATTATTTCTCCGAAATATGTGGATATGTTAATCAATTACAGCAAAACGTATTTATAATATATGTAATGTAATTGAAGGAAATTCCTTGTAGTTGAAAATTTGCAATGATGAAAGCTAAATAAATGATTATGATTTATAGAGTAGTGAATAAATAGATTCAATATGTTGAAATGTTAAATATGAAAAATAATATAAATTGAAATGAATTAATTTCCTATAGAAATGTTCAGCTGTAAATCAATTTGGCCTAAGATTTGTTTTTGTAATTCTTAACATGGGTGCAATGTTCATTTTTTTACCTGCTAGAAGAAGTTTATTTGAAATCAGTTAATATTATTTTTACTCCTCAAAGAAAGTCCAGCACATTTAAGCTTCACTCAGACGAAAAAAAATCCCCGTTTCAAGGTGGCTCTAACAAAGAAAAACAAACACACACACATACACACACACACACACACACACGCAGTCACACACACCTGCGCGTCGTAAGCAGTTGGGCATCTGGAGGCAGTAATATGGTCATCAAAAAAATTTGATAATGTGACTGTCTTTTTAATTTTTTATGAACTCATCTAGACGCAAACGAAGCTAGGCTTTGGCTTGGCGCTATTGTTGTCGCTGCTGCGGCAATAGAAAACAAGTTAAACGAGAATAGCTAGAGAGGAATACAGGTAGAATCACAGCCACCAGGCCGGGCCGGTCTGGCCCCAAAAAAAAAAACTCAAAGCAAAAACCTGTACGAAATTCAATTTCTTTCCAAAAAAATTCACTTTGACGGCGACGCTAACGCAGACGCCGCATTCGCAGCCGCAGCCTCAGCCTCAGTCGGCAGCTAATCAATAAAGCGCGTTAAATATTGTTTGGTTTAAAGCTTGATTACAACACCAGCGAGGGGCTTAGAACGCCAGTGAGCGCTTAACGCAAAGCACACGCGCGTGTGTGGGGGACCCAGAAGCAAATACAAGCGACCGAAAAAATAAAAAAAAAAATAACCAAAAAACAAAAACAACAAACAGCGGGAAAAAAAGATACGTCGAAAACACGACAATAACAGCGCACGATAAAAGTCGCCAGCGGGCAAAAACGCGCTCATTGTGTGCGCTGTTTTCGCAACGGTAAATTAGCTAGCGCAGGACCGCAGCACAGATCCACAGATACTGGCAACAGATATCAGATACAGATACACACAGCTATAGATACGCCGTCAGGATGAGGATGCGCCACGCATTTGCTGGATTAATTGTGTGTTGGCTGGCAGTTTGTCAACCGCAAGGTAAATATTTTTGTGCCTCGGCGCAGCGCTAACAACAATAGCAACAACAACAACAACAACAACAACAGCAAAAGCAACAAGAGGAACAAGAGCAACAGCAGCAATAACAATAGCAACAATGGCAGCACGAACAGCGGGTAGACTGGATAATGACACCAAAACACACACACCTACACACACACACACACATACGCACACACATCCGCGTACTTTTAGGCTTTGATATTACAGCAATAATTGCAAAATTATCGCTGGATTTTGTGCCAACGTGCGCAGCATACTGACAGACGAAAAAGGACAGCAACAACAACAACAACAACAAGGAGAACAACAACAACAACAACAGCAAGCACAAAAAGCGCAGTCTGCCAGGCTGAAAAGCTCTGGCGTTAAATAGTCGCTCAAAGTCAAGTGTGATTACAACGCGCACAACATTTACTTACGCTTAAAGTTTGAATGATGTCACAACAACAACAACCACAAATTTGAATATAATTATGTGTATGCCATATACATATGTCATATATGTTTGCCATATATATATATATGCCAAGTAGAGAGCGCCCAACAATGCTCGACTCTCTCGTGATACGTAAAATGCTGCAAGAACTGTTTGCGAATTACAACAGCAGCTCTTAAGTTGCGTGCGCATTTTTGTTTTTTGTTTTTTTTCGTGTTTTTCAAGTGCATTTTTACAGAAGTTTCTACTGTGTGATTTTTTAGGCAATTACCTTTTATTTATTTTATTTTTTTGCTGTGATAACTACCTTGTGCTAGCTAATGAACATTTTGTGTAAATGGTTGCTACAGTAGTAAGGCCCTATAAAGCCAATAGAGGCAATTTGCTTAACAAAGGCTTAAGAATTGTGGTTATGGTTCCAAAACAAAACAGAGCACAAATCTTATTGAATGGCCCAGGATTTTTAATTGTAAAGTAAAATAGTTTTGATTTTTTTAAATGTTAGAATTTCTTTTCTTATTTTCTTTTGTTTTTTTTTTCTATTTATTTATTTTATTTATTCAATTATTTGATCATTTTATGATTAATGATAACCAAACAACGGTGGTGCTTTTTTCATTTTCGGCGACAAAATTCATTGAATCACAGTAATCTACCTTTAAAAAAAACTACTGTTGATATATTTAAATTATTTATTTATTGATTTGCATGTTTAGTTAAAACTAAAGCTAACCTTCGGCCATTTACAGGATCGAAGTGTAATTTGGATGTATATTTTGTTTTTTGTTTCCTTTTACTTTTAATATTTTATACTGTTAGTATACTTTTTTTTCAAATATGCTAAATATTAGTTTTGACAGAACTTTTTATGAATTATATAATTGATTTCTGCAACTATTAAACATATATTCCTTAAAGTGTGTATGCTTTATGCACACGAATATCCAAATTTTTGCGAGACATTTTAACCTTATAATATTTGCTGGTGTTTGATATAATTGCAATACTTTATTTCAAATCGTTTAGTGCAGTAAACTAAGATTCTTGGAAATACATAAAATTTGCATGATTTTGGCTCACTCGAGTTTCTAAAAGCAAAGCGCAGAGCAAAAAACTTTGCCTAAAGTTGTTCACGGCTCAAAAAACAAACAGCGAGCAAAATTTCAAAATAATTATAATGCAAAAAATAGAGCGCACATTAAATGATATTCAAATTAGAATCAGTCCAAAATAAAAATGAAAAAAAGCCCCAAAACAAATAAGGCAACGCGCCGAGCGATGCGTGAGGAACAAGTTTGAGGAATTCTTTCAGCCAGTTTAGTTGTTGTTCTTGTTGTTGTTTCTGTAACAGAGGGATGTGTATGTGTCTGTGTGTGTGTGTGTGTTTGTGGATGGGTGGGTGGGGGGGATTATATATGCATGGAGCTTGTGATATGTTTACCTTAAATAACGCACAACAAATAACAAAGTTTCGCCAGATGAGCGAAAACTTTTGCATTTAACTTATGGTCGCATCTCAAGCAGAACTTGCACCTCACACTTTTCCGCTCTCTCTTTATCACTTTAGCTGAGGCACAGTTCGCTCCATTCGGACAGCCAGCTTACGGCGGACAGCCTGGTTTCTTTGGAGGTGGACGCGGTCCACGTCAGGGCTCCGCGTCCCGGGCCAACACGAATGCTTATGAGCGCCAGGTGGACTTTGGCAATGTGGAGTACACGCAGGGTCTATCTAACTCGCGTGCGGTAACCCGGCAGAACGGCCAGCGCATCGTGTCGGACAGCGAGGCGCGCACGCGTGACGTGGATCTGGGAGGATTGCAGATTGGGAATACGCTGACGCGCACACGCACCAATGCGAATGGCGCGGTGAGCGGCGGCGTGGCCGATCAGTTCCGCATTGGCAACTTGGGCCTGGGCGCCTCCCTGTCACCGGACAATCTGCGTCAGGGTTTCGGACTGCAGCGCGGCGCCGATGGCGACGTGCGCCTCGGCCTGGGCCTGCTCAGCCTCGACCTGGACAACAATGTGCAGAACAGCAACACGCTCGGTCAGGCGACGGTCAATGCCCAGGGCCGCGGTGCTCGCGTCGGCTCCAACAGCAACAGCCGCACCAACAACCAGCAGTTCGGTGGCGTCAATGTCAAGGAGACCTTCAGCAACTCGAATGCCTATGGACGCACCCGTTTCGGCCAGACGTCGGCCAATGCGGCCGGGTTTGGCGAGAATGCGGCAACGCGCGGCGTCAACTACGGCAACTTCGGCGGCGGCTTTCGACGTCGCCGCACGCCGCAAGTCGCCTATCGCCCGCAGCAGCAGCAGCCGCTGGCTTTCGCTGGAGGCAATCGTCGCGTGGCTCGTCCCAAGCGTCGCGCCCAGTACGTGCCTTTTGGCTACCCTCAGCCCGGCTACAATAACTTTGGCTATGGCGGCTTTGGAGGTTTCGGCAATGTTGACGCCACGGAGCGTCCGCGACGCCAGTTTGGGCGTCCAGGCGGCTTTGGCGGATTTGGCGGCTTCGGTGGTCAGGGTGGCTTTGAACAAGGCGGCTTTGGGCAGCCGGACTACTATAATCAGGGTGGTAAGAGACGCGGCCAGGTGCAATCCTCTGGCAATGCAGGCGCCCAAGGCGGACCCGGCTTTAATCAGCAGGCGGGCAGCAATAACTTTGCCAACCAGAATGCGGACGGCTCACAGAATGCGGGCAGCAGCAGCATCGGCTCCAATCTCGCCGAGGACGGCAGCAGCGGCCAGGTAAGCTCCGCCAACACGAACCAGCAGTCGGGTCCCGGAGGATCGACGAACGGTGCACAAAGCCAGGCGCTCAATTTCCAGGCTGGCGAGCAGCAGGCCTCCAGCTCGAATGCGAATACCAAGCACACTCAGGTGGGCAACCAGGAGACCATCGGCTCTAACAGCGGCTCCACGGCCACCAACAACAATCAGTTCGGCAGCTCTAGCAACACGGCCAACACGGACACGCAGATCGTCCGCGATGGTGACCAGGAGACGATCACATCCGGCGCCAACAGCCAGTCTATCTACCAGGGCGGCAATGACCAGGGCAACGCCGCTGCCAACACCGCGGCGAACATCAGCTCGCAGGTGGGCGCCGACGGCTCCGTAACGAACTCAGCCTCCAGCAGTGCCAGCGCCAGCAGCCAGAACGGCCAGTCGGCCAATGCGAACGCCAATGCCAACGCCGGCGGTAACGGCAACGGTGCCGGAGCGGGCGCCAATGCCAACGGTGGCGGCGGCAAGCGCAATCGCGGCGGCGCCGGCAATGCCAATGCCAACAGCAACGTGTTCGGCGGCTTCAATGGCGGCTTTGGCTTTGGCCGTTAGTTATGCTAAGTCAATTTAAACAGCACCACCAGCACCACCAGCACCACCAACACCACCACCACAACCACCACCTTTTTTCTATATACTCACTCAAATATTTTGTTCTTTTTTTTTACAACGAATCACTTTAAACACTCGAATAAAATGTATTTGTTAATTTTAAATGTTGCTGCACCAAAATGCACTTATAGGTAAGGGGTTTTTTAGTAAAGGGGGGAGGTAAATATGAACATTTTGTAATCATGGCTGTTTCACGTACTTCATCTTTATTTGCTTGTTATCGGTTAATCGATAATTATCGATTACTTTTCACATTTGATTTGATCGATTAATAGGTAAATATTGATACTTGATACAGATTTGATCTGTATTTTGTTTAAATTATTGCTTTCGATTCTATTTTCATATAGATTCTATTTTCGATATACATTTCCATTATTGAATAATCGATTATTTTGGGCGCTATTCTCATATTTTATATATATCATTTATTGTCGATTAATCGATCATTTTAATATGTGGCATATTTATTTTTTTGTCGATTAACTGATAATTCTCAATTATTTGTTTATAATTTTGTTTAATTTATTTATCTATTATGTAATTTTATTATTGATTAATGCATTAATTGGGCACATGGTTATTTGTAGTTTCGTGCAATTTGACAACATTTAAAACTTGTTTTTTTACCCCAAATGATATTATAAAATATTTTTTACTAGCTGAATGTTCGCATTCGGATTTGCACATTTCTGGCTGTGAGCACGAACGATGCACATTCGTTGCATACTTTGAGGCAACAGCACTAAACCCAATGTTTCCCTCTCTTTCCCACTCTCCCGCTGTCATATTCTATGGCCTGTGCAGTGCGCTACCGCACCCAGCAGCAGGTGCAGCTGCAGCGCTGGCGTCCGAGACCCCGAAACAGCAGCTCGGTTGGGGACAACATCGAGTATCTGTTTATAAATCGATCGTCGCGCCTGGAGGACTTGCAGCCGGTGGTAAACACTTCGATCGATGCGTTCGGCGACTACGATGTTAGCCAGCGACAAGGCCGCACGTTCAGCATCATCTCCGACTGGATCAGCAGCTTGTTTGGCTCCTGCGTCACGCCTTGCACCATGGAGGCCTATCAGCAGAATCGCTGCTGCGAGACCTATGTCTTAGGACCGCCGCCGCCACCGCCACAGACGTGCTGCTTGGTGCCAGGACCGCCACAACAGCTGCCACCACCACCGCCACCCCCTCCGCCACCGCTGCCACCCCGCCCGCTGCCGCCTATGCCAGCGCCACCTCGCTATCCCATGCCCTATCCGCTGCCAGGGCCCGTGCTGCCCGGCAAGAATACGCCTGTCATGGTTATAGCCACGCCCATCAATTGCTGCACAGTGTGTACGTACACCTACTATGGCCCGCCTCCCTGTGGTCGCTTCAACTACAACAACTACAACAACTACAACAACAACAGCAATGGAAACAAGCGAGTGACTATCTATGTTCCACCTCCGTACTACGGTCGTTGAGCATAGGTCGGAAATCTAGCTATTAAGAGCCTAGTGTTATGAACCGGCACCCCGTAGATTATAGTTCAGCATCTTATTGTCTCTGTCTAGCCCCTTTCTATGGTTGCCTCCAGCCTCCCTTTGTGGTTGCTTCTGGTTCTCTGATAATCTCGAAAAGTGCTTTATGTCAGTTTTTGGTTCTCGGCCTGTCAGAAATGCGGCAAAAACAAAAAGAAATAAAAAATAAAATAAAACAGGTAACAGAGTTGGGGGCAAAGCTTGCATGCCAGAAATATGGGCATGTTTCTGCTTCTGGAACTGGAACTGGAACTGGTACCGAGAACCGGCGACGTGCAGGCGCCTGCAACAGAATAAAGTTGCGCTCTGCCCTAAACCAAACTCGAGCCTAACCAGCTACTGAGTAAGCTCATGCCGTTGCTCTTTTTTTACCTGTATATAGATATCTTGCGACGAAGTATCGAAGTTTAAGCATGCCCTAAGTGTTTTCTGTGCTCTAAGAAATTAATAGCTTGGGTTCTGGTTTTTGTTTATGTTCTCTATTTTTTTTTAAATATATATAGTAAAGAACACATGTATGGTTGCTGTTATTATTTTATATAGATTTTCTTGTATTATTTATTTTTTAGGTGAATGCTTCTGAAATTAAAATGGCAGGGCTCCAAGAATATCTTTCCAGACGTGTATAGATTTTGTTTATGTGGCGGCATAAGTGTATGTTACTCCATATAATAATAATAGTAAGCCCAAAAAGAAGCACAAGTTTTTTGAGAATTGAAATCAGAAAATTCCAAAAGTTTAAGATATTTTAAGCCTGAGCTTATAAATTTTTAGGTAAGATTTCTAAACTGTGATTTTTAAATATATAGGAGCATATGCATGTCTCGATAAACTTGCTATCGATATATTTGATAGCGCATGCAGGGTTCGTTGTACGTGTGCCGGTGCTTTGCTATCTTGTAGCCTTTTGTTGTTGTCCATTTTTGCGATATGTGTTCGCTCCTTTGTTGTGCCTTTTTGTGCCGTTGACTTTGGCTTCGGTTTGTCTGTGTGTGTGTGTTGTTTTTTGTCGGCTTTATGCACGTAAGGACACTGAAATTTATAACAGCCTGTGCCCAGGCACAGGTCTCTGACAGAGTCGCTGGCTGTCTGGATGGCAGCCACAAACGACAGGCTGGGAAACGAGACACGGAACATGGGACATGGGACATGGGCACAGGCACAGTACACGTCACGTCAGCGGCACAACAAAGCTGATAACTGCAGGCACTGCGCCGCCGTCGTCGTCAGATTCTGATAAGCGCTGGAAAAACAAGGCCGGCCCCACATAGGAGTCGCAGCTAGCCGGAAGCAGAGAGCCCAACACATCGCGCGCCTTTGTCATTTCTCATAATGTTAATTTATATTCAGTTCAGTCTAAGCAAATAGCATACAAAAAAAAATAGCCGCATGCCGTACAGTGACAGCCGGGTAGAGGAGGCGGGACACAGATTATAGAGGAAAGCCAGAGTCGAAGGAGCTGTGGGAATAAATAGTTGGCACAAGCCATGCATGGTAGCCTTAGATGGGCGCCTTAGTTGTAGAATTGCTGATGGCGACGACGCGCTGGGGTGGCGGCAACGAAACGGCGCTCGCTGAACACCTCCTGGCCGGGTGCACCGCTATCTGTGGCCGAGTAGAGCAGGAGGGGAATCTCCTCGACGCTGGTCTTCTGCTGCTGCGCCGAGTTGCGCACGCCGGAGCGGAGCAGCTCGTTGCTGGAGAGGCGGCGTGTGCTGGGGCCGGTCGAGGCGGGTACAGCGGCCTCCGGAGCGGGCACAGTGGCACCCTCTAGCAGTTGGGTATCGTCGTTGTCGTTCTGCTGCAATGGCGCATCCTCGGGCTGGGCCACGGCAATGGTGTTGCCCACTGGGGCATTGGCGCCATCCTCGGTCTGAGCATCGTCCGCAATTATGGAGCTGCCCTGAAGCAGAGCCTCAATGTTCTCTACATTGGAGAGACCGTTGATCTGGAGCTGATCGTGCAGCTCGCTGGGTATAGCAATAGCCTGCACATCCTTGTGGCCGGAAATGCCGTTGGGCGTGGGAATGAATTGGACATTCTCGGGTATCTGATCGGTGGGATAAACTGGCACAAGCTCGGCCTCGTTATCGTTGCTTGACTTCAGCAGGATCAGCGAAATGGGCACGATCTTCTTGAACTTGAGCAGCACCAGCTTCTTGATGGCCACCGCGCCAGGAAAGACGCGACTTTGGGCGCCATGGGGCTTGGCAATTAGACCGCGCTGCTGCTGCTGGAAGCGGTGTCCAGCCACATGACGAGCTTAGCCACACACAAACAAATAGAGAGAGACTGTTTAATATGGGCCCGATTGCAATATTGGCAGATACTACTCACCATCGCTAACGGCGGCCAGGGCCAGGCCAATGGCCAAAAGGGTAAACAGTTTGATTGCCATATCGAATGCTGCAGTCGATTCCAAACTCTGATCTGATCGCTGGTCTGTGTGTGCGTCGCTGGGTGAGAGCGTCTATACAATGGTTTGACTGTTGCCCTAGCAAAGACATTTTATACAGGGTAGCCGCTTGGGGCCACGGTTCTTGCGCGCGATTCTTTCACTCGGTAATCATAAAATCACAGACAGCACAAAAGAAATTAGGCGAAAAATTAGTGCCAGCAAATAAATGAAAATGGGCAAAAGAAGAATAAGCCAGACGTATGCCAGCCAAATGGCAAATGCCAAATTTTATAAACTATGCAAATGTCGCTCGCTAATTTATGCAATCGCGTCGACACGGGCTGGCTGCTTTCTGGACTGATTCTCCAATTGTGGACTGTGGACTGCGCATGCAGCCAACAACTGCCTGTGTGTCTCGGGTCGGGCGAGTCGTTGACCACCAGCTGCATTGGCGAACCCTCTTCCCGATCCCTAGGCACACACCAAATCTCAGATAGCTCTAGAGCTGAACTCCAAAGCCGAAGTGAACCGCATTGCCAATATGTGGCCGCAAATATCTGAGGCGAAAATTTGCATTTTGGGTCGTCGCCATCGGAAAGTTACCAACCATCCAGCTCGCAGCAGTTTTATCTTTTTTAATTTGTAATTTTTTTTTGGGTCAAAAGTGAGATTTTCAAGTAGTCAAGCCAAATTCTTGGACAAAACTCTAATCACGCATTTGTCAATGTTCGCAAGACCCCAATATCTATATATATATATATACATATATATACATATATATATGTGTAACATGTCAGGGTTCGAACAGCCATATCTTTGCTTTCTTATTTGCGCAATATAATATATGGCGAAGTTTTGACATATGTTTTTTTCTTAATACGAGTTTCTAGCCCACATGCGTTGCGGGAGTTCCCCTTTGCGAACGCATTTTTTATTTGTTTACAGCTCATTTTGTTATTTATGGATTATCACACTGGAATGCTGATAATTTTCAGCAACCCATCAAGCGGATTATAGAAGCTTCCTACGGGCTATAGATCGTGATCTTATGCTGAACTCTTGAGTTTTTCATTCCATAGTTACCCCAAAATGATTGTTTAAAGGGAGTCCTACAAGGGAGAGGAGTGCGGCACTACAACTGACATGCTGAGAAGGAGCTGGGGCTCTCTTAGTGAGCAAGAGTTACTTGACCTTCTTTATGACAATTTTCCCCTGATCCGAGCTGAAGAGACTAACTCTTTGGCCATCTGCTTCCCCCTATCCGATGTAAGGACTGGGCACGCACAGTGCGTGGGTATGGCTGTTTCGTCTGCCTCCACTCGGAGCCCGCACTCTGATGATAATATTTAACTGTGTGATGGCTAGTCATAAGTCTTAAGACGACCATTTCTAGTACTATGGGCTAGCGTGAGATCAAGTAGCACCTTAAGTTTTCGGAGTCCCCTGCTACAGCACAAGAAACTAACTGATGTTTTCGGGACTTGGCGAAGGCCCTTGGGAATACTCTAAGCCAATTAGGACGAAACCAGAACCGCCTCTTGCGACTTCATTGCCAAAAATGTTGTTGAAGGTCGAAAGCAGCTGAAGACAGTTCCAACAGCCTGCTACAAGCCTATAGGTTATGCATTGTAAGCAGAGAGCTTCAAATGAAGATATTGTGGATGGTGTCTATTTGATCTTTGCCAAGCTTTTGTCTGAAACAACTCCCAATTGTGAAAAAAACAAAAATGTATATAATAATAATAAATAATACCAAAATCTATTTTCAAGTTCTTCGTTACTTTAGTTTGTTTAATTTATAATGCCCTAACAACTATCTAGCTCTTATGTTTTATATATATATTTATTTAAATATATTTTTGTCAGATTTCCAACTCCTTGTATATTATTATTAAATTTTTGTTACAAAAACAAAATGAATGAAACATTCTATAAAGAGACAAGTCATGGCCTTAAAGTAGTATTCTAAACGAGAAATTAATGAATAAAACTGAAAAAGTCATTATTAGAATCTATTTTACAATCTTATGAAGTCCAAATTGTTTCAAAAGTCTACACTATATTCTTAAGCTTTTTATTTTACAGATAAGATAAAAAGTAAATGATTAGTTTCCATATTAAGCATTATAAAACAAAATACAATAGGTACATCTTATATTGTGTAAATAGTTTATTTATGATAAACCCATGTGATATTTGGGGAAAAAAGGGCTTTAAGACTTTTGTATTTTATGTACATAAAAAAAATGCTTGCACCAAGAACCAATAATGAAGATAACTTGGCCATAAATAAATGGGTTTCTTATTTGCTTACTTACATTATTATTGTATTTTATCCCTTTTTATATTACGTTCAATGTTTCGAGCACAAAGAACTTTGTCATAAATAACTAATATTATTCTGATCTAAATTATGCATATCATGTCAAATTTATTTATATTTAGTTTTAAGATTTATTTTTGAGAAGATCCATAAAGATTTCCAAAGAATAAACAGATCAGACAAAGCATTCGTGGAATGTCTTTGATATATTGTCTGCAGACCTTATAAGCAGTTATTTATGGACTATCATTAATTTTTTAAAAAATAAAACAAAGGAATAGCTTTTATGATATCGAGAAACCATTTTAGCTAAGATCGATTGTTGCTTTCTGATTGTTTTTTCTTTTTGCAGACTCCATTGATTTGGTGTTTTGACCATATTGTGGGGCAGATAAAAATAGTTTTAGTCATTAATTTTCGACTGATCTTGGCTGATTTCAGTATTGTGTGCTGTGCTGTTCCCATTCCCAGTCTCTGGCGAGCCAGCCGCCTGCCTGTTTCTGTTATTCCTGCTTTCACTGCCAGATACGGCCCCCAGACAACGCCCTAGAATCCCAGAGTCCCAGCTGCTGCCACTGTCTAACGATTCATTTGTGTTTATGTGTAAATCTATTTCATATTTCTTTTTTTGATTTTTTAGGCCCGTTTTAGCATAAAAAAATAGCCACGTCAATAATTCATGTTCTGCGAGCTGTGAATCTTCGAGTTTATCTTGGCTTACAACGCGTCTGGCAAAAATATATATTTTTGGCCCATTATGCGGAACATAAACCAATTTTTAATAACTAAATTATGCAAAAAAGAACTGCGAACAGGCCACTGATTTAAACAAAGGCGCGGCAAGACGCATGGGGTTAATTAGTTGGCTGGCCGGTCAGATTGGACCAGGGCTTGGCCAGGTCTGCACCTGGACCTGGAATCGGAAAAAGTGCTAGCCTTATGCTAATGGAAATACATAAAAAACGCATAAATACTCATTAGGCAGGTGTGTGTGAGAGTGCGAGAGTGAGTGTGCCTGCGGCCCTAAAAGAAAGTTGCGCCCCGCATATGTCGCCGTGAGGTCATTATGGGGTCAAAAGTGCTAGAAAGTTATTGGAAAGTTGCAGTTTTTTTGTCTCTATTTCATTTTGGGAATATCATTTAAAATTCTCTTGAACTAGAACAAAGATCAGTGTCAGCATTTGCCCAATCATCAAAAGAATTAGTTCGCGGCGAACTATTCAACTTGCTGTGAATGCGAGTCGAACTGTTATTCAATTAATTAAGCTTTGATTGCTTAAGCTGCGAGCTTTTTAAAAGCTTAAAGAGCGAAGAATAACTGGAACTGAACTTGTTCGGGTCTGCAGCTTCATGAGCTAGTTGAACAAATTCGAATTAATTTATTGATCCATGTAGTTCTCATTAGATATTGAGACTGAAAATATTATTTATGCCTTTTTCTACTAAAATCCCTTGAATTGGTAACCATGCACTCTTCCACATACCACGATAACATGTCAAAATATTCTAGTACAGCAAGTTAAATATATCAAATTAATTTGAATTTTACCTTATGTACCTACTACATATGACTTATTATATATACTGATAAGAAAGAGTAAGGTACTGCAGCTTCTGATCTACAAGCTTTCCTTCAACATTAAATATATTTTATAATAATAAGAATGCATAAAAATATTTGTATTGTCTAACTGGCTGCCGCTGATTGGTAATTAACGCATAGCCCAAGCCGATGCTGAAATATATACCCTTACCTAATCTTATGTGATAAAGGTGCACGCTCTGTCTGGATTTTGGGATATTCCATCCGCAAGTGTGGAAAAACTACGGAAAGCAGTTGTAGGAAACTTTTTCGTTGATCAAATTCATTTGAGTCGTGTTTCACACTTTTTGCACAATCCATCCCTTTTTGGGGGAAATGGAATACGGTGCATGACATTTTGTCTTCCACTCATCTAAAAGAATCTTTACGAAACGAATCTTTGACACATGTTTTACGCGTTGCTCAAAATGCTCTCCTCTTGAATAAAAATGTCATATATTGTAAGTGCGAAACTTTATTTTGCGGCTAAATTTTCAAATGTGTATGTTAAATATACCTTCAAAATAATAAAATAATAATATTAATAAAAAAATTTTTAATAGTAAATTAATAATATTAAAAGTTATTTAGAATAATAGTAATAACAATAATAGTACTGTAGTTATAATAATAAAAAATAATAATAAATTAAATTCCAACAATTTAAACCAATTTTATTGAGCTGGTTCGCTCAAAGGCTTAAATAGTTTCATAGAATTAGCTCAAATAAGTTGATGAACTGGCTCCAGAAAAATGCTACACCTATGAAATGCCGCTCGCTGCTCCGTTCTCGCTGAGGTCACCCGCTGGATCAACGCGACCGCCGACCGACGACCGTCGATCTGCGACCCGCGACTTGCGGTCAAGATACGCCAAATTAATTTACCGCCCATCGGCGGCGGCAGATGAGCAGCAGCTGAACAAATGTAGCGGGTATCTGGCCGGTCTCACTCGCGGCCTCTGTCCCTCTCGCAGTGTTGGATTCTCGCTCTCGCCGGCTGCGGCTCTCTTAGGCAAATTGTAGCTGGCACATAAAAAGCTCAGGTCGGCGCGCACGCTCAAACAGTTGGCCAAAAGAAACGTCTGTCTCTGGACCAAAGCAAAGCGAACGGAGGCGAGAAAAGCAAAAAAAAAAAAAAAAAAAAAAAAACAAAAACAAAAGATAAACCCACAACAACAGCAACAATTCCGATAGCTAAAACGATAACTGTGCTTCTTTGTGTGCGTGTGTGTATGTGTGTTTGTGTATGTGTGTGAGTCTGTAATAATCAGTTTGTGCAATAGAAGCTTCCAGCCGGGCTCCCAGCTGTAAATCCCGAGACATGACCAAATTTCTGGCGCTTTGCCTGCGCCTGGGCCTAGTTCTGGTCCTGGCCGCAGCAGTGGCCCAGGCTGAGGTGAAGCCTGCAAAGGCCGCGCCCGCCGACAAGGAGCTGCCGCCGTCGCCGCCTCTGGCCATCGAGCAGTCCACGGAGTCACCCATTGCGGACATGGCGCTGATTGGTAGGCAACAGAAACCACCCAATTAACGACCAGCTCAATAGAAGACAACTAATGTCATGTGTTTTACTTTTTTTTCATGTGTTCCACAATTTTTTTTCTGTGTCTGTGTACGCGTGTCTCACTTGTGCTCTTCTGTTTGTGGCCGCAGAGGATGCGCCAGTGGTGCCCAAGCTGCCCACCGAGAAGCCGCCAGTGGCAACGGTCGCTGATACCAGTGAAACGGTCCTTAGCTCGCCCGCCAAATCGTCGGAGCAGCCACAGCCGCTGCTGCAGCAGTCGGATGAGAAGGCCGCCCAGCCGCACACCGTTGCAGACTTCATTATTCATCCCTTGATTGCCTTCAAGCCACGCCAGGCCGCGTTGGATGAGCTGCAGGCTCAGGGCAAGCAGGCAGCGCCTGCTGGCGGCTCGACCACTTCCACCTCGCCTGGCACCTGGCTGTTCGGCATGAATCCGGGCCAGGGCTTGGGCTCTTCCTTCTCGACGCTGGCGGGCTCCGTTTCTGGCTGGTTTAATGATCGTCTGGCCGCCGCCGGACAGCAGCTGCCCTCATTGCCCGGCTTGCCCGGTCTGGTCGATACGCCAGTGCGTGACAGCGGCAGCACCACCACAAGCACCACCACTCAGCGTCCCGATATTGTTGTCCGCCTCCAGCAGCGTCCCAACAGAAGGCGCGGCAATGGCAACATCATTGGCAATGGCAACGGCAACGGCAATGCCAACCGCAATGGCAATCGCCAGGGCAATCGCCAGGGTAATCGCCAGGGCAACAATGGCAATCGCGTCCAGCGTCCCAATCGTTTTAACAATCAGCTGGACTCGCTAGAGTCGGAGGAGTACGATGATGTCGATTACTTCAATGGTAATCAATTCGACGAGGAGTTCTACGACGAGGAGGAAGAGGATGTCGATGTGGACGACCTGGTCCACAACGATGAGGACCAGTCACTGGAGCATGTCGATGACAATGATAACGAAGATGATGACGACCAGCTGGATCAGCAGTCCGCCGAACAGCCATCCGTCGAGCAGCAAACGCAGAAACAAAAGCCTAAGCAACGACGCCGACCTGCCCAGACACAGGTGGTGCGACGCAAGCAGACACAGACGCTGTCGCAGTCGCCGGCGCAGTCGCAGCGTCGCCAGCAGGCGCAGCATGTAAGGCGTGGCCATCCCGTGCAGCAGCCACTGGCGGTGCTGGAGCAGGCCGATGATGAGGATGAGGAGGAGGATGATGATGCGGAGGTCGAGCTGGAGGATGACGACGATACCGAAAATGAGGAGCACTATGCGCCTGCACAATACACTCAATCCTCGCGCAAATCTCAGGGCCAAACTGGCTTCATCCAAAACGGCCAACAGAGCTTGATCAATCAGATACGCAGATTCACCTTCGGCCAAACTCCCGCCGAGGTAGGCAACAAGATACGCAAATCGCAGTCCAGCCAGAGCCCCTCCAGGACTGGAGCGCGCCGACCACAGCAGACCACACTGCTGGTGAACCGCAATGGCCAGACCGTCTATGTGGCGCCCGAGCTGCTCAACCTGAGCCCCAACTACCCAAACTATGGCTACGTGTCCACCCCAACCAAGGTGCAGAAGCAGCAGCGCGTGCCGGCCAGTCCTTACCCGCAGCCACCGCTGACGGTGCCACTGCGTCGCAAGGGACGTCCCACGCAGTACATAACGATACCCTGGAGCCAGCTGGGACTCGCGTCGCCCGAGCGCCAGTCGGTGGTATCGCTGGCCGAGGGCATTCAGGCCCAGCCGCTCATCCTTAACATCCCCGATAGCGCGATCAGCACGGTGCCCGTGCGCGGCTCCACGGCAGCCAGTGGTCAGAACAAGAAGAAGAAGCGCCCAACACTAACGGCTGCAGCGGTGCCCCTGCTGGCCGATGCCTCTCTCATGGACATCTTCCAGCCACCACAAATTCCGCCTTCCCGCACCGGCTCCAGCTCCAGCTCCAGTTCGAGTGCCAAGCCCAAGCCCAAGCCCGTGCTGATTGCTGCCAAGCCGGTTAATGCTGGTTCTGGTGCTGGCCTGCTGCCTACACGTATACGTCCTGCCACAATTGTGGAGAAAGCGCCCGCCATGGAGTCCGCCGAGAAGCCGCAAGCCCAGCCACAGAGCGAGCAGCAGCAGCAGAAGACAACAGCTGAAGCCGCGTCCGCTGCCGCAGCTAACATTACCCCCGATATGCCAACGGATGCCGCGAAGGCTACGCCAGAACAGGAGTACATTCTTGTCGGCGAAGACAACGAGCCAGGTCTCTCCCGCCATGTGCAGCCCGTCTATGGTGATGCGCGTTACGTCTCCTACGGCGACTTCCATCCCTACTTCGATCTTTTGCACCAGAACCGACGCTTTGCGCTCCGCAAGGTGGGCCGCGCCCTGGACGCGGAGGTGCCCATGGACGCCGCTGAGGCCTCCGCGGATTCACCCATTGTCCCAGTCTAGTTGTATAACGAGAGCACAAACTGATAAATGAGAAACGAATGCGTAAAAGAAAAGAAAGAAACAAAGAAAAATCTGAAAAATAACCCAAAAATGATTTTCAATCAACCCGAGTGCAAAAAAAATAAATTTTTTTACATTTTTTTTATTGTTGTTGTGTGTGTGTGTGTGTCCCAGAGCCAGAGAGAGAGAGAGAGAGGAATAGAAGTTGTAGTCAAGTCTTAGCCAAAACAATCCCAAATGACCGCAAATGCTAATTGGTGTGAACCCAAAGTGAACTCCAGAACAAAAAACTACTAGAGAAAACCGCATATTATGAATATATATTTTTTTTCTTCTTTTTTTTAATGTGATTCTTGATTGCCATTCATAATTAATGCCGTTGATCGGCGTGCGTTGACCCGGCCCGAAGTCTTGAATATTAATGGGGCGCGTGCGCTTTGACCGATTTAAATGGGGCTTTGACCAATTAGCGAAATGGCCAAAGAAAAGAAAGATTAAGAATTCAAAATATTTCTTAGACATCGATCGAGCGTAAACATAACTCAAGGAACTAGTTATTCAAAAGATTCTAACGGTAGTTTCTATAAACAGTAAATGACATTTGCATACATTTAAAGACAGAGAAATCTAGAAGTTCCTGTCGTATCGTTAATATGCATATCAATTGAACTGAGAAGTGACAGCTACATCTAGTTGCTAGCTTTAGCAGCTACTTTGCAAGCAAGTTTTATAGCAGGCAGCTTTGCAACCCAAGGATATTTAAGCAGCTTTCAGGTAGAAGCTTTTTTTTAGTATTCAACATGATCGCGTGGTGTTGCGTAGCTATGTAGAATTGCTTGAGTGTTACAAGTTGCAGAGCAACCAGCTTGGGCAACTCTGTCAGTGACACAGCAGGCAGCTTTGGTAATTCGATCAATTCAAGGGAATACTGTACAGAAGTTGAAGTAATGTCAATAAAAGCAAAGAGAACGAAGAATTGCAAAGGAAATACTTGTTGTTATCGTTAACCTTTTAAAGATAGAATAGAAAAAATAGAAAAAGGGATTAGAAAATCTTTTTATGAAGCATGTTAATTGATTCTTAATCTTTTCTACTGGACGAGAGTGCTGCATAAGTATATTAAAGTATATAAGCATATAAAAGTTCTTGGAAAGAACCGTTTTAGAATCATATTTGTTGTTATACAATTCAATACGCAGAAAGATAATTGAATTAAAATAAGCGCAAAAATGCTTAAATTATTTATCGAGTTCAAAGCTCTTATATATTTTATTTTTTGTTAAAACGTACCGAATTTACCAAATGTTTATTGCGTAGCTCTATGGGCTTTCTATCACGGGATAATCACTTTCCACTTAGAGCAATGGCTGATGCGGTTTTGACTTCGACTAAGGTCTCGGTTGCGGTGTTGATGTCGGCACTTAACACACACAAAAACACACACACACTCACTCACAGATACACAGGCAAATAGAACAACAATAACAACAATATATTTCAGCTTTAGCACCTGGGGGCAACTACCAGAGAAGCATTCAATCACTGGCTCCCACTTGGCGCATGATAATGTAAAATGGAACGAGAAGCTGCCGCTTGGCACTCGAGAATTGGACATGGCCCCGGGTATTTGAGCTTGGCCGAGGCACTGCTGAAAATTTGCATAATCATCCTAAGTGCGGCAAATTGTTGGAGCAATCAATGGGACATTATTAGGCCAACATGCGAGCACTTGAGGAAGAAGGCGGCGGTTGACAACATCATTCGTCACGGACAGTTGCAAGAAGCTCAAGTTGAATGGCTGATGATAGCCTGCCCCCAAGACGACAACAATGATGATGGCGATGCTGCTGATGATGATGATGATGATAATGATGCTGACAACTGAGCGCCTCCGGGGGTTACAGCCTTTCAATTAATGATGCCATCTGGTTGGCGGGGTGAATGATCAGTTAAGTGGCAGCAGAAGCAGCAGCGCCAGCCGCGGCAGCAAGTGGCGATCGGAGTTGGCCAAAATATATACGCTATTCGAAATTAGAAATTCCAAAATAAAAGGCTCAACACAACGATTTGGCTGCCCTAACAGTAAATACAGCTAAAGAAATTCATAATTCAAATTAAATTTCTTGAAATTTGCATCTGCTTAAAGTTCAACTCTGGCCTGTTGCCGCCACTAAGCCAAATTAGTTGCTTGATTTCACGTATAATTTCCATTCCGTGTGCCAAAACACAACAACAAGCATAAAAGAAAGAGCCGAACAACAACAACAAGAACAGCTAACAACTTTGAGCCCCTTTTTGTTGGCCATTTGGTTGTTTTGTTTGCCTCGTGCATTGAACTTTCAACTTGGCAAAGTCGTCAAGTCCAAGTCCAAATCTAATATCATATCCAAGTCTAATTCCGATTTCTCCCCGACTTGAATCAATTTATTAGGCATTGCCCTAAATGGTGGCCTCTCTGGCCCGGCTCGTCTAGTCTCTTCTCGGCTCAGCCCAGCTCTGTCCAGCTCTTTTAGTTTGGACATCTTTTGGCTGTCCATTTCAATCCATTCTGATTACCATTCACGGCATGTGTTTTGCAGTTTTGACATTTGACACCTTTGAACTTTTGCTGCCGGCTGCCCTTCTCATTTCTCGAACGGACGGAGGGGGGGACAGGGGCACCATCTGCGGCAAATTTTTATGCTAATTTCTTTAAAGAAATTTCATTCGCAGTTTTCTTCAAATTCTGTTGGGCCTGTTGTTATGCGGATTTGGCTACTGTCACCTGCGGTTTTAATGATATGTGGCCCCCTTTTCAGGCAAAGCTGAAATTCAGATTTTCTAAATGATTTCTTCAACATAATAAATATGCACATACTTTACATGTTTCTTGTTTCATTTGATGGTTTATTTTTTATTACAGAAATTATTTTTTATATATTTAGATTTTTGGCTGCTAATGGAATTCTATGTAATATTACAAATGCACAAACAAGAGTCCATTTAACCTATTTGAAGGTTTATGGATAAATAAATTCTAGAAACGAAAAAAACAGGTGTCTATATAAAAGCAGTCTGTGTATGTTAATTACTTTATTTATTTTTTACTTTATTATTTATGCAATTTTGAGTCAAACTAATCTTATCTTATCTACGAGATATAGAAAAAAACTTTCCATAAAATAACTCTATTTTCAACGGATCGATTCTCTGAAAGACGGAAGATATATACATTGCATTGAAAATGATAGTATAATGCATTTTGGACAAGCAACAAATATTTTACAATATCAGAAAATCTCCAAAAATAAAAATTGATCCTAATTTTAGAAAATTATCATCTTTACTTTTGTTAAAATATTATTATACTATATTTTTAAATATTCTCTATTTGCAAAATTGATACAAAAATAAAAATGTTTAAAAATATTTTCTTTTAGAATTTCAAAATTTCTTCGATTAATGGTAATTTTCTTAAATTTGTAAAAATTATTCAGATTTAAATAACGACTTTCTTGCATAGTGAAATAAAATAAGATAGTCAATTAACTTTACTTAATTAGTAAAAAAGTTAAAGATAATTTCATTTGCTAAAGTCTTTATGAATCAGACAGTTTTCCAGATAACTCTCGATTTGGGACCTAACCTATTTGTTGTGTAACTTTATAATATGGAGCTTCGAGCCGGCTGATGGACAAACTAGATTACAGACTTTAGATGCTGGTCAACTGTTGACATGTATATATACATACATATATACCTGAAACATACATATATACCTGAAATGTTTTCCTCTTCTGCTAATCTTTGTTGTCTTGCCGTAGAATTACTTAGTTTTTGCTGCCTTTGTAATTTTTTGATCAATTCAGAGAAAAAAACGTCAAACCTTAATCACGTACGTGTTGTCTAAATTCACTAATTCAAAAACACTTTCAGGCACGTAAAATATTCCAAGAATAGGCTTATATATATATATATATATATATATATATATATATATATATATATATATATATGTAAATATATATATGAGCAATATATATATATAAATATATGTATATATATAAATCTTAAAACGGTAGATTAGATTGAGAGTACACTGATGGATATTGGGGTCTGGACTTTGCGAGGCTTGAAGGCGCTCGCTCTGGAAGAGGATGAAGTAGAGGCCAATGCAACCGGCGAATTGCTGCAAGCTTTCGTCTGGCCTACTGTATCGACAGACTTCTATTTTCACATAAGCGAGGTCATTGCCAATTTTATGTTCATTGTAATAACCGTGCTCATATCGAGGAAGTGCCTGATCCTAAGGTTGAAGCGGACCGCGGAGCATGTCTTCTACTGCACGCTGGCGCAAGTGCTGTCTGTTGCCGAGGCTTTAATGCTGCGCAACCTGCTGCTGCACACGATCTTTGGCATGATCGGCTTTGTGGTCGGCTTCTTTGGCGTTGGCCTCCAGATCTTGCTCAAGCATAAGCGAGCTCGTGGCACAAGGCGCCACTTTCGCAGCAGCCACAGCTTATTCGGCTTGGCTGGCTGCTTGCTGATGGCCGTGAGTTTCTTCACGGGAATGTGTCTGCTGTTGTATCCGATGCGCAATCCCGTATGCATCTCTGTACTATTTGTGCATCGGGTCTGCGGCCTGTTCTGCTTCATCATCCTGATGGCCTCATTCATGTTCAGCTTCAACACCGGCTTCATGCACCTCAACTGGGAGCAGCGTCGCATCTGGCTCTTCAAGTTCTGCACGTTTATCGCAACGATCACAGCCTCCTGCTACGAGTTCAGGTGCTTTGTGAGGGATGCAACCACTCTGATACCCAAGGAAGTATTCGAGTCAATATCTATATACGTGCGGGAAGACAAAAATAATTGAGCTGACAGTCTGTTGACCAGCTATATACAAAAAACAGACTTACTAAAATTTCTCGAGAGCAGAAAGCATCGAACTCTGATTAAACAAATCAGAGCTGGGGCTGTAGATGAACCCTAACTATTGGGGCTATAAAAATAATCATCATTTGAGACCTTTTCGTTTTCTTCTTTTCCATTCATGCATCTAAGAGCTGTTGACTGATTCGCATGGCATACTTTCCCAGCGACCTTTGATTATTGTGGTTGGTGTCCGCATATCCATCAACTTGCTCCTATGGCCACGCCCATAGGACGCCTATTAATCTTGCACATTTCGCACGCGTTTTGATGCCCTGTAGGCATTAACTGAAATGAGAGGGTTCCATAGCAGAATCGGTCCCATGTCTATATATTAAATATATAAAGCTGTTTTCCCTGATTCACGATGAACGTTCAGCCCAAACCGTAAGAGCTGAATTTTGACTTGTAACATTTCACCCGCAGCTGTGGAAAATGAGTGGAAAACGATTGTATAAGACTTTCGTTTACTTTCCGTTCGAGTATAAGATTAGTATACATATTATTATTATTATTTTTTACACGCGTCGAATTAGCCTATTGTAAAAGCAACAGCAGAATATGTATAAGCTCTTATTCATTTTTCCGCTTTGAATATTTGAAAAAAAAGCAGAAGGGTAGGTTTTTTTTTTCAAATATAGGACGAGCTCATTTATGACAATATGACACCTGAAAATATAAATAAAATAAAATCATGTGCTGCTGAATGTAGGGTATCTGCCAGTCGTGCACTCCAGCTAAGAGTAGGACTGAATTTATCAGTAGTGTGTATATTATATATGTGTTTATGATTCTAGTAACAGGGAGTCCGATAGCCCAGCACAGCCGGCCAGAGCTACGCTTGGTATGGGTTCAACTGTGGCACGACAAGTTGAAAAGTCACGAGCAGCGTGTGAAACACTATGGAACGGCAGCAATGTCGTTGCGCTAGGGCTGATGCCACACTTGAGTATATGACCGAGCGGCCGGGCCATGGTCCAAGCAGTTGCCATGCGTCGCTGGCTGATGCGGCACTGGCCACTGGCCACTGGTCGGCTCTGGGTGCTTGGGGTTCACGGATATTTGATTGTATTGTCATTAGCGTGACGAGATTGGGTTCGAGTCTGGGAGCTGTTCGGCAGAGAATCGTCGGCGGTTTGCTTCTTTTTCTTTTTCATTTTATTTATATTTATTTTAAGGTCTTGGGTTCTGTTTTGGTCAATTGAGTTGGCTTTTGTTCCTGTTGCGGTCACTGAACTTTGATCAGCATTTGGCCATCTTTTCACCAATTTCGGCACTTGAATTCGATATGAATTCGAAATGGATGCCGTTGCTGAAGCTGGTGTCGTTGCCCATTCCACGGGCGTAATTATGTCAATCTCTAGAGCTATCTGTGGTCTGTCTTCTTGATTATACTTTTGAGTGTGTCTGTATCTGTGTGTGTGTGTGATGGCGTGTGTGTGTGATGGCACCGGCTCTGTGTGAGCGGATGTCTAGAATGATTCTTTAGTCGGTTGGCAGAGTTTCGTGGTTTCGTTTCATCTGTTTTGTTTTCTAATTTTTTTAATTTTATTTCATTTTTTTCTGTTTTGTGTGTTTGTTTGTTTCCCACTGCCCTCTGCTCGAGCCGACTGAGTTCTCGGGAGCTTTTTGCATAAAAACCTAGCGGCGTCCACCGATTCTGTACAGTTCTTTGGAACTTTGCTTACAATTAAGTAGGACAATACACAGCGCAGCGCCACGCACAGATTCTCCAGACAGGATCACAACTAGTAAGCCATGTCCAAGCTAAGCGCCCTACTCGTGCTCAGCTGCCTGTTGGCCCTGGCCTTGGCTCTGCCGGGTAAGTAACATTGGCCACCAGCTGCAACTCTACAGCTCTGCAGCCCAGATTCCCTCTTAATTGAACCATTGCAATTGCAGAACCACGCCTACAACAGAGACAGCTGCGCCAGCAGCTGCAGCAGAAGCATCCGTACCTGTTCTTTACAGTGCCACGCGGACGCGCCAATGCTGGTGCCGTGGTACAGGGCTTTGAGGTTGTGGAGGAACCCGAAGATCTGGACAATGATGACGATGACGACGCTGAGTCGGACATCCCGGTGAGGCGCCTGCAGCACAATGCTGACGATGACCTTAATGATGATGATGACGATGACGACCTGTCCGACGATGATGATGATGATGTTGATGAGCTGCCAGCAAAGCGTGGCGTCAGCTTCGCGCGCAATGGCCACCTTGTGCTGCTCAATGGCGGCGACAATTTTGACAACGATGTCGACGACGAGCAGGACGCTGACGAGGACACACACTTGCCCGTGGTGTTGGCCAAGTCGGGCCTGGGCCGCAAGTCGCCCGCTGTCAGCGGCCAGCAGCTGCTGAAGAACGCCAAGCCCACGCAGATGATGGTCGCCAGAGATCAGGCTGGCGCCATCATGGTGCCCGACGGCATCATTGAGATCGAGGGCCAGAGCGTCGTCGACGAGAAGACAGGCAAGGCAGCGCTGCTGGTGCCGCGCGCCGCCCTCGATGCCATACCCGACGGCGCCGTTGTCGCTCTGATGGAGCGCTCTGCCGGCGAATCTGATGTCGGGGAGGAGCGCGCCAATCGTGTCATCGTGCGACGCCGCAAGACCGGTGGACGCCGTAATGTCCAGCGTCGTCGTCGTGGCGGCCGTCCAGTGCGTCGTCGCAGCGGTGTGCGCCGCCGTGGCGCCGGCCCCAATCGTCGTCGCAATGTACGTGTCATTCGCCCCAGCGGCAACCGCCGACGTGCCGGCGTCCAACGTCGCCGTGGTGGCCAGGTTATGCTGCAGGGCTAAGCTGGACCAGACCAGAAATAACTTTCTAGTATTATAGTTAAGAGCCAAACAGGACCATAAAAGTGCGACAATTGAAAACGATTCGATGAAATAAAAATGTGATATGAAAATAATGATACTGGTTTATTTTTAAATGTTGCTTTTACTTTGAGTACTTGAAATAGTAATTAGTTCTTATGAGCCTATCCTGCAGTGGACCCTTTAAGTGCGGCGGTTGGTTTTGATTCAACGGCTTATTTAAATATTTTTTACGATTTGAGCTCTTGAAGTTGTAGCATAATTAATTCATTTTACTTTTCCAAATTTAAACATCGCTCTGCGTTTTGTTTTATCTTTCTTATAGGCTTATTCATTAGCTGTTTATTTTACACACTCTAACAAATTCCACTGAAATAATCGCCAAATATTTTTTTAATTTGCCACTGCTCTTTTCCTTCTTTCTAGTCTGAGCAGGTTTCGAATTGTTTATGCATAAGACTGGAGATTTTAGCTAGCGCAAAACATTTCAGGTTGATTTGACCCAAATCTTTGCCCATCTGGCAGCCACGTAGCGTATGCGCAATATGCTGGAAATATGAACCTTTGCTCGGCCTTTGACTATAATCAATTATTATTCTTAGAGACCTCCCAGCACGAGTCTAGCGTAGTCTCGCTTGTATTGAACAATGAGAAATATGCAGTATTTCAGAAAATAAATGTAAATAAATATTTTTATAAGTTCAGTTAGTTGCCAATATGTTGGCTATGATTATAATAATTTCCCTAAATTGTATTTAGATCATTTTCTTTTGTTTTCTTATTTAATAAGCACCTTTCCAGCAGACCAGCTCATTCAGTACATTCTGTTTTGAAGGAATATAACAAAATGTTGCAGTGTATAAATAAACTAGCAAATAAATGAATTGTCATATAATCATATCGTCATCATACTCACATATTAGTATATCTAGTATCAAGAGTCTGAAATGTACTTTATGTCAGCTTTAAATATTAGATTTTATCGATCGAGTCAAAGACATTCTCTATGAGGCTCAGGATGATATCGCATCCCATACACCTTATATTTAATGGCTAATCCTTATGACCTTATAACACTTATTTTGAACATTTGTTTCCTCGAACAACCAAAGGTAAAAACCTTTTGATTATTTTTACATTCTGTGTTATATTTTTAACCACTTTTCTAATTTATACCTCGTTTGACCTTTTAATTTATGGTGTATATATATAGTAAGACTATTACTTTTACATCTTATGCCCTCCAATTTGTCAGAGAGTTCCATTATTTTATGCACTGTTCTTCATTAATTTTATACCTCTGTCTTATACCTAATCATATATATCTTTTGTCAATACCTCCTAACACCTCATATCTTATAGATTATTTATCATTGTGATCCACTGCACTTGCTCATAGGCCAAGAAGTAGCAAGCTCCAACTGACGGAAAATGAGTGTCTTCCAAGCAAAGGTTCTCTGACTAATTACTTGCCACCTTCGTAAATTTGTACATAGACCCTGGTAAGCGCTCTTCAGGGTGCAGGACCTATTACCAGTTTATCTAACTAGGCGATAAGGCTTTGTGGAAGAAAGCAACGAAGGTTTCACAGTAGTCAGCTCATCGATCTATGCCCATCGACTTCTAAATTAAGCTAAGTCTATGTACGCCTGCCTAGTTAAAAATTCTAGAAAAACGTTTTAGGAAATTAACTCAAATTAAAAAAGGGACGTATTCAGTCTTCCTATTGATAGGCTAAACGTGTAGATTGTGTAACACTTATTAATTGGGCCGTCTGCAAAATCAGTTGAGTAGCTGGTTACCTGCGCTGGGTATTCAATTGGTGATTGCAAAAGGTGGCATAAGCAAAATTTAACAAAAGCGGAAACTGCAACGAATGGCATACATTGGAAGACCTAGTACAATAGAAAATTAGAAAACTATTTAAATTCTCACCTGGGGCCGCAACTTGGATTTACACGGTTCGTTTCGAGCACTGTTTTGTCGGCTGGTCGCTTGGCACAGTTAAAAGTTCAAATGTTCTGAAGCTGCGATAATCAATCATAAGAGAGCTAGTGCGAGCTGTTGGCCAATATTCTGTGGCTTGGTGTTCTGTTCTGTAAATTAGCATTAGCATAATACTTAAGACCAAAAACGGCAACTGCGGATACATTGGATACGTTGGCCTCTTCACTTTGACCTGCCCGCGGCGCTGGCGAGATTAATCACACCGTGTAGCAGGGGAATTGCCGAAATGGGCGGCTGTGCTGGACGCGAGGAGAGGTCCGGGGGTGCGTCTGTAATCCATCAACCATCCTGACCAGAACTTGGCTGATTGTTGATCATGTTGATGGGTATATAATCGGCGTGCTCCCAGCAGCTGTCAGTCAGTGGCGAGTGCAAGCTCAGAGCCAACAAGTGCCCAGCCCAAGTCGATACTCATACACCGTCCAGCCATTCTCTCAAGGAGCACAACTTCTTCAATTCCTTTAGCTCACAATGCACTGCCTGCCACAATTGATACTGGCGCTGGCGCTATGCGCGCTACTGTCGCCGCCAGAGGCATTCGGTAAGTTCCATCTTGCATGTGCCATGTCTCAACGTGATCTGTTATGTTCTGACCAAACGCCTTCTTCATAGCCGAGCGCTATGGCTCCAACTATCGCTTGGGTCTGCGTTCCGTGGGCCGTGGCGAGCATGTCTTGCCCGAGGGCCGGTTCACCTCGTCGATTGTGAACAAGTTTAGCACACTGAAGGGCACCACCACCACAACAACCGCGGAGCCATCCACCACCCTAACACTCACCCCAACAACCACACCCACCACAACAGGCACTACAGATACCACTTCGCCAACCTCCGACACGACGGCAACCTCACCAACGGCAACGACGACAACGGCTCGTGCCTTTGGCGATGAGGCCGATCCACAGGTCGAGGATGAGGAGGAACCTGCCTTCAACGGAAATGCACGCGCCTACAATGACGATGTCGATGACGACGAGGAGGACGACAGCAGCGCCGCCGCCGACGACGACGACAATGATGATAACGATGATGAGGATGATGACGGAGATTACTTTGTGCTGGCCGCCGGCGCTGGAGCTGGTGCCGGTGTCGCTGCTGCTGGCAAGCCAGCGCCAGCAGCTATCGGCGCCGGAATGCCTGGCTATGTGCGTCGCCCATCGGAGCAGCAGTGGCGCCAGTTCCAGCTGGAGCAGCGCAATCGCCGGCGCATGAATCGCCTGCAGCGCGAGCATAACCAGCGCATCCGTGAGCTGGTGCGTCGCCAGCGTATCTCGCAGCGCCGCAACAATCAGCGCATCCAACGCATCCAGCAGCAGAATCGCCGACGCGCCGCCAAACGTAATCGCCGCAACAAGAACCGCACCAAGTCGCAGCGCCAGCGCCGTCGTCGCAACAATGTGGAGCGTCGCCGTCGCCAGAAAGCCCAGCGCCAGCGTCGTCGCCAGCGCCTCAGCCAGCGCCGTCGTCTGCGCCAGCTGCTCCGTCGCCGCCGTGGTCGTGGCCGCAGCGTGAGACGCGTCTTGGTTGCCTAAACCGTACCGGCTGCAGGATATGGCACAGATCTGATCGAATCCATGTAACGAGCAAACGCAATGGCCGCTAAAAAAGGCCCCAAAATAAATTGAATTTTTCAACAAAGATCGAAACTCTTCAACTGATTAACGGGTCCTGCCTAAATATTTGTCAAGAGCCTCTAAGGCCAACATCAGATCAGTTCGCACATGATATCCGAATACACAGCTTTAACTATTTTTTCTAGACACGATCGCGTGTGATCAATGTGACTTTCAAGTGCTTTAAAGGCTAACAAAACTGAAGATCAGCTTGTACATGATCCAAATACGAATGACCAACAAATCGCTGCGCTCACTAATTTTTCTAGTGCTGTGATCTACATATATGATTTATGATGGCTTATCATTTTAGTAGATCTTCATTCTTAAGATTCTTAAGCGAGTGATCTATATGTTTTTTTTCTTAATTGGCAATTTAAACTTATCTTTTGAATTGCATTTAAGTACATATTCACTCTTTGGGTCGCGTGTGATTTTAATTTTTTCAACCGTTTTATAGATCGTAACCTACGCAAACGATTGATTCCAGTTCCTGTCTACACGAATTACAGATTTATATTCGCATTTGAATTTAACCATTCAGAAACTCAAGGCAAATTTCCATTTGTGTTTAGCTGAAAAACTTTTGGTTCCTTTTTAATCTTACAATTCTACAAAATTTCGCTTGTGATCTAATTCCATCTTTAATTTTAATTTTAATTTTAATTACCTTCCATTAACTTAATTCTACAATAGATCAATCAATAGAAGTTGTTTTGCGAATAGTTTGTGATCTGATGAGCAAAATCAAGTGATATAGTTTTGGCAACGCATTTGCAAATTGCATTCTGCAATTGAGCTAAATGCGGATCGTAGGTCTGATCAGTGCGGTTCATTGACTCTGGTTACACTTTCGCCCTTAGGCGATGTTTCTGTTGAGATTCCAGAGTTTCTGTTGGCCTGGAACAAAGACAACGGCCATGTATGAATATGCTAATGCGCATCGATTGATTCGCAGATACAGATACAGCTATGCAAATCGCGTGTAGCGCGGATCGTGGAGCGAGAACAAGACCAAGAACGGGCTGAGGTGAGGTGAAGCTAGGGTTATCAGGTTGTTGCGCCGGGTCAACATCAGTGTTATTTATGGGATTATGCAAAATGGCTTACAACTAGCGATCAAGCAGTCTGCGCCAGTTAACTTAGAGCCTATTTCGGTTGCTCTGCTCCGATCCGATATGTTTCTGTCGCTCTCTTTGGCGATGTAACTCTCTTGGGCATTTTAGGCCTACTAATTAGCCAAATGTTACAGCCCAGGTTGTAACTGTAGGCATATAAATATGCCAGCGATTGCCGTTGTAAGTCAGTCAGGCAGCGATACGCATCCAATAGAGATTCGCAGCAATTAGCCAAAAGAAAGGAAATAACAAGTAGCCAAAGGACATGCACATGCTCAGGGGTTTACTCATCGTGGCCTGCCTGGTAGCCATTGCGCTGCAGGCTAGCGGTAAGTAGCGGCAGTCGTTGCCCCACCTGCACAGGTGTCAACTGAAGCTCCATCCCATTGCAGCCAAGCAGCAGCAGGGCAGACGTGGAAATAAGCAGTATCAGCTGTTTGGCCGCCAGCAGAAGGATTACGATCTGCCGGCCGAGGGACGCGTCAATCCGACCAAACTGGCAGCCGTGCTCAATGCCGCACTCGGCAACTCGAACGGCTCCTCGCCCACGCCCACAACGACCACCATATCGACCAGCCCAACCACAACGACCGGCACCTCCACCACAACTCTGACACCATCGGCAACTACGACATCACCGACATCACCAACGACCGCCACTCAAACAGCGGCCAGGCAGGCCTTCAACGACGATGATGACGACAATGATGTTGAGGAGGATGAGCAGAGCTACCAGCTGGCCAATCAATTCGATCTGGAGGACGATGATGACTTCAACGATGTCGCCCCCATTGAGGGCCATCTCATCCGCAGCGGACAGCGCAGTCGGGATGATGCTCTGGCGCGCCAGCGCCGTCAGTTCAGACGCAAGCAGCAGGTGCAACGTCGCCGCCAGCAGCAGGCCAAGCAGCGCCGTCGCCAGAAGCGTCGCCAACAGCAGCAGCGTCGTCGCCAACGCCAACAGCAGCAGCGCCGTCGTCGCAACCGTCGCCGCAACATGCGCCTGATCAAGCGTTTCCGCCAGGGCGCCAACCGGAACCGTAACAGGCGCGTTATTCGCGTCCGCGCATAGGACATAGCATAGTCAAATTGTCTGACAACCTATTGTGAAACCTTCCCTTGAATATAATACATACTGATCAACCTATTTACATAGTTTAATTTACGACTCGATTCTGAATGCTATAGAAGCCGACGAGCTACCCAACAGGAAGTTTTGCTCCACTTCATCTTAAGTATCCAAAAATTAAAAACTATATATATTCATTTATATAATTGAAGCTCGTTGAGCTTGCTCAACATATCTGGCAGAAGGCAAAACTGCCCATAAAAAATCGATTTTTGACTGAATTTTCCTATACAGCTAAATGATATAGAAGCCCCTTGCTGACAGGTATTTGGAGAGCTAAGAAATACAAAGTGGAATCAAGAACACAATTTTGAACCTATATTTGCGATGCCACCTAAATAATATAGTGGCTCGATCCAAAGTTAGGAGATTTGACTAAAAATCCAAGAGCTCCTTAAATCCTGATAATTTGTTAAGGTTGTGAACACCTTACACCTTCCCTGCAAATCTGCGTAAAGTAGTTTCCGCTAGAGTCTCCGAAGAACGACCTTCTGCTGATGTACGATTACAACTTAGTATATGCCTCTTCTTTTTATTTTCGTTTGTTTTTCCAGTTAAATCGATTCATTGGCGATATTTTGAAAATCCGTGTCAGTGATCACGTAGTACTTCACGTAAGGAAATGCCTAAAAAATCAAAATACTCAGTGTTGTAAATCACGAAAGGAGTGTTTTTTCCAGCACGATATATGCAAGTCTATACTAGACTTGTCTAGTCTAATTTAAGCATATAAGCATCTACATCTGTGGATACCCTAAATGTGTATGTTCTTGTAGTTGCATATGCTCAAACATATTTTAAATGCCAAACAGTTTGGAGATGAAAATGAATATTAATTGCAAATTTATTAGAAAATCAACTTGTAATATAAAGATTTATCTCTATAGTGTACCCTTGTATTTCTGATCTAGTTATTGTCAACAGCCTGATGACGATTTCTTATTGGCGCTGTAAGAGCTGTCAGAATTGATGAGCTGAGAACGCATATATTAAACGAAAAGTAAAGATGTTTGATGTTAGATGTTAGCCATGTATTGTGCGGTCCGTCTGTGATATATTGTTGATTTTACGGGCGAGATCCGATTTTGATCGCAGCTGTTTTCATTGCGAACTTTGTCGCTGGGTCAATCTGGTTCATTGGAAGCGAATGGAGCGAGCGGGCAATAGAAATGTTGCCAAAAATTTATGCGAAAATTTGCAAATTTGCTAAAATGATAATGAGAATTATTAGCACCGACTAGCTGGACTAGTTGTTGTTGCCAACTGGAGCTTGGCCTCGGGTATATAACCCTGCTGGGCCGTTGGCATTGTCACAGTCAAGCAGCAATATTGCCCCAGGCAAGCAGCAAGCCGCAGCTCGCCAGGATCTAAAAAAAAGAGAGAGAGAGACACACACACATATATATATATATAGGAATTACCAGACGAATACATCATCATGAGATTTCTGGGTTATGCACTGCTGTTGCTTACAGCAGCGGCTTTGGCCAACGCAGCAGGTGAGTTCAGCTGAGAGCGGCGAGCGTTTGATATCAGTTGTTATATCCATACCAATACATCAATCCGCAGTTGGACGCAGCGAGGATGATGAGGCATCGCCGCAGAGGTACCGCCTGTTCAAGCGCAGCGCCGTTGCCGAGGGCAGAACCCTGTCGCAGCTTCTGTCGCTGAAGGGTGGCAACTGTTCGCCAGGGACAACTACAACCACAATAACGCCCACACCCTCGACGACCACAGGCACCTCGACCACGACAACAACTCCATCGGTCACCTCATCAACTCCGCCGTCAACGCCTCCATCATCGGCTCGTGGCTACAATGACGATGACGACGAGCCAGCTGATGAGCAAGACGTGGACGTCGACGATGATGACTATGAGCTGGATCGCCTGCACGCCGACGATGATGAATTGACCGCCTATGAGCTAAACAGCCTGACGCGCCGTGGTAGCAACCGCCCAGTACTGGCCAGTAACCAGTTGTCCGACAGTACTCGCCTGCAAGCCTACGAGCTGCGCCGGCAGACGGAGCAGAACAAGCTACTGCGCCAGCGCATCCAGTTCCTGCGCCGCCAGAGCGCCCAAAATCGCCGTCGTGCCCAACGTGCCCGCAAGCAGCAGCGCCGCCGCAACAAGAACAATCGCCGCCGCTTGAGCCGCAGGAATCGCCGCAATCGCCGTCGCGCCAACACTCGCAATCGCCTTGCCAGACGCCGCCAGAGAAGGAACCGTCGTCGCAATTAGACCAGCTACATAGCATCCGTTGACAATCGAATCTTCTGAAATAAATCGAATACAAAAGCATATTGTGATTGAGATTTCAACAGCCACTCTCTGGCTCAAAGAGAGAGAAAGAGAGGGAAATCGAGGGAGAGAGATGAAAGCTTAGTTAACTGGAAGTTAAATTCCATCCCTTCTTCTCATTCGCTTATCAACATAAAAATGTATATATATATATATGTTATATGTTATTAGCTTCTTAACTTTTTATCTACGCTGCAAATATTAGCGTTTGGATCAAGTGCTTGTCACAGCTTTCACAGGCAAGCCAATTAAGGAAAACTATGGTTAATAGGTAAAAGGTTTGACAACATGTTAAAGAGCTCTGCATATATTCGAACAGGTAGATACACTGCTTTTAATAAATTTGACAGGCAGATCAATGAAATAGACTTAACTTATTATTAACAACCTAGCGTAGTTTAATAATTAATAGCTTATATATGGGTATTGCCTGAAAAAAAAGTTTCATATATATTTTCTTTGAAGCTTTAAGTTAGATAAGTTTTCAAATTTGTTTTCGATGAATCGTATATTATTATCTTCTTGTTCTCTTCGATCTCGAAATCTAGTTAATTTAAGACCTTCTAATAGTTTTCTCCACTTCTTCAGACATCTTAAGAAACATTTCTATCTTTATCTTAAAGTCCACCATATATAGAAGAAGATTTAGGACTTGGATTATATGAAAGTTATGTACTATATGCTATATATGGATCACAAAAGCGGTTTACCAGGTTGGAACTGAGGCTACCCTGCGGCTGGCTGGTGCACCTTCAACCCATTTGCCTCTCATTAGAAACTCGGGTTTCGGTGCGCCAACTGAATTGGTTTTCACTTTTTCTGAACAACAAGCGGTGTCCAATGACCAAAAGCCGAACTTGGACTCGGACTGGGATTCAGACTGAGCGATGATGATGACAGCGACAATTGAACTGGCTGGCATGAAGGCCAGGGCCAAGGGCGCGCGGCAACTTTGGCGAGGGAGGGCTCATTGCCAAGTGCGCGAAACGCGCATAGAAAGCAGCCAAAGCGGCCAGCGCAACGGCTCAATGGTTGAACGCTTGACTGGCTTGGACCGGGTGCCGAGATGATAAGCAGAACGAGACTCGACGGCGATGACGGTGAAGAACTATTCGCCGGGGCCTTGATGGCATGCTCAAATAGCTGCAAGCATTATTTTTGACTTCTCTTTTATTTTTGTCGAAAAATTGAATTGAATTCAATTGTGAATTGCGTACATTTTCTGGATAGGCAGAGTCAAATTCCCTAGGCCATTTACAGTTAGCGCCCGAGCAATGGGCAATGGAATTTGGGATTTGCGATCTGGCATTTGCATAAGTATTGATGCCATCGCACTCGCATAGGTGGGTATAAAAGGCTTTCAATTTAGACGATAATGTATCAAACATTGATTACCAATCAGTGCGAGCACACACGATTGGGACTCGAACTTGAACTCGGACGCAACTGCCAGCAAGTGAAATCGTCTGTTCGAAAAGTTCTCATACACTATACTGCTGAGTAGTTTCTGCAGCTCCAACGATGAAGCATCCAGTCGCATCCTTGCTACTCCTCTCCAGCCTCATGTGCCTCACGGTGCTGGCCGAGAAGCCGTCGCACATGCTGAAGGCTCGCCGCGGCTCCTACTTTAATGAGCCCGCCCTAGCGCGCTCCAATGATGCCAGCGTGGCTGTGGCTCTCGATACGAATGCCGACAAGGATAAGCTGAGCGAAGCAGCCGCTGGCGTTGGCGGCGCCAGCAGCAGTGGCAGCAGCGGCAGCATTAGTGCCACGGGCAACAAAGATGCTTCCAGTGGACGGCTGTTCCTCAAGAAGTTCCTTATGTTCAAGAACATGTTCAGCAGCAACAATCAGCCGGTAATACCCATTATCATAACTGGAGCTGGCACCGGTAGCGCCACCACTCCGACCACAACGGTGACATCGACGGGCTCGATACCAACGGCCACGGGTACTGTCACCACCTCGCCGACATCACCCACATCACCGACAACACCAACAACGGCCACAGGTCGCGAGTATTATGGCCAGCAGGAGGACGAACAGCAGGAGGGGGATGAAGCCGCTGAGGAGGAGCCCAAGCCTGCGGGTGCCATTGCCATGGCCGCCAATGCTGAACTGATCGACGAACAGGCCCTCCAGGCGGCACTTGCTGCCGGCGCACAGGAGTACGAGGTGTTCACCGAGGGGGATCAGGCAGACACCGGAGCCACTGAGAGCAAGGCCAGCCAGAACAATCGCATCAATCTGCGCCGCAAGGGTGCTCGCCGCGGCCAGGGCCAGATGATCAGCGTGCGCATACCGCCTCGCTACCGTCGCTACTTCAAGAACGGGCAGAAGGTCATGTTGAATACCAAGAGCCGACCCAACAAACGTCGCGTGGTCCGAAGGCGTGTGCAGAACAAGAACAAACGCTTCAACAACCGTCGTCGCGGCGGCAAGAACAAGAACAAGAAGGGCAAAGGCAAGAACAAGAACAAGCGCCCACGCCTGCCCGTGGTCTAAGCGAGTCACAAATCGCGATCCGAGCGAGAACCCGTGGATCGACGATCCCCAATGAGCAAGACAACACACATAATTTTTTTTTTCTAATTTATTATAGCTAATCCTAAATTAAAGACGCACTTCTTTTGGTCAAACAGAATAAATGAAATCTTTCGAAGAGTACTCGACCCACTTTTACTGCTTTCCAATTGTTCCAATTGTTGAGGCCTCTTCAACGATCGTGTTGGGGCATTCAACTGCCTCAGGCACTGAGCTATTTAAGCCGCATGCTGCTGCTGTCAGCTAAGAGAGTCCAAGATGAGCCGTGCCCCGTACTGGATGTTGATAATCGTGCTGATCGCACTGGCTACCAGGCTCAGCGCCGCGGGCTGTGCCGGCGCCACACAGAAGCTGAGACTGCGTCTGCGCACCACCCCGAATGAAGTGGCCGGCGATGAGACTGAACAGCAACTGGCCCAGCAGCTGGATCTGAGCCAGCTGAGCGAGTCGCAGCTGCAGCAGCTCATGCAGCAGCTCAACCTGGCCGATGAGTACGACGAGGATCATCGCGGCAGCAGCCGGCCCTGGAACAAGGTGCAGCGAATCATACGGCGCCAGCTAGTGCGCATACCCAAGCGCTATCTGAAGAAGCTGCTCCGGCAGTTCGGATTGGCCCGCGCCGGCAACTATCGCAGCGGTTCGCTTCAGTGGGAGCCTGAAGTGGAGGCACAGCCTGAGCTCTATTATCTGATACCGCTGGAATAAGAGAAATAATAATTTATTAAAAGATAAAACCTGAATTTATTGTGCAGTTCTCATCAATATGCATTAAAAGGGGCATTGGTAGATAATCTGTTCTCGCTCCGCACACAGTTAAAAACCCATCTTAGTTTTCCGACATCTGTCAAGCAGAATCATTCAAATCACATTATCTTTGCCAGAACCCACATCACTTGCGTAACGTGCGAAGGGGTAATAATAATTAGATCGACGGAGATATTACGCTTGAAAAAGTTTAAAAGCGACAAAACACCGTCGTTTATCATCGCGAGATTATGTCGTTTTCAAAAATGAAAACTTTGTTGATGATTTTTTTCGGAATATCTCCAGTTAAGAAGGTCTGATTTTGAAATGTTATAATTTTTTTAGTTCGTACGGAAGACTTCTGTCAATTGGCAATCAAAGAAACCAGCAATCGAGGGTTTTTGTTTAAACAAAATGTTGACAATAAATTGGATCGGTTATGATGTTTTTGGATGTTTTTAGATGCTTTTTTAATTTTCCAATTTTGGAACGATCTACCATTATGGACACGTGGGGATCAGTACTATCGATTGGCATTCAACATATTAAAATGCTTATTTTGCCCAAATATTGAGAATAATGCAAGGGGTAACATCGTTTCTTTTCCAAAAACGGGGTCGGTTCAAAAACTAAAACTTTTTGATGATATTTTTGAAGTCTCGTATAAACAAAATTTAAATTTTGACCCAAATCAGAAGCCTATTATCGATTGGCAATCAAAGAAATTAACAATCAAAAATATTGACTAAAATGGTATCGGTTATGATGTTTTTGGATGATATACCATTCTGGACACGTAGAGATCAGTACTATCGATTACAAAATTCAAATTTTTTGATCAAGTTCATTTGTAGATCTTCGAAAAGATGTCGCTATAAAGCGAAATCGTGAGATTACGTTTGTCAATAACAAATTTCCGCCGATCTTAAAATCTGTAAATTTTCCAATTTAAATAGGATACAATTTTGATTGCGGCTAATTTGAAATAGAAATGATATTTCAAAAACTTAGTGAAGTGTGGAGCCATTTTGTTGAGTGTGGAGCACGGAGCATTACAGCACAATCCGTTGCATACTTTTCGGCATATTTATCAAATGACTTGATTTCATCGCAAAGCTCGGCTGTAGGAAAAGCTCCTTTAAAACTGTAATACTTTTATTAGGCTATCTTAAATTAAGAAATTTCTTAATATTGCTCTGCTGTTTACTAAAAGTAGCACAACTATTAATATTCAATAGTGCTGTATTCAGTTGCGCTACATGTAAGTGTGGTATATTGAACAGCTGATCGGTATATTTATATACGGGCAGCTTGGCTATTTGGGCTTTGGTCACACTTGTTGCAAAAGCTGCGCAGGTGGCGTGTTGTTTACTTGTGGGCAGTTGTCGCTCCGTCTGTGATTCGATTTAGATACCTCAGATCCAATTACACACACACACGCACGCATCCACACCCAATTAAGAACCACAATGGCAAGCGGATTACTAGCTGGTAAAGTGGCATTCGTGACAGGTGCGTAACAGATTTGGGGGCCAGTCAAGTGAACTTTGAACTGTGATTCGAATCTTAGGCGCCGGCTCTGGCATTGGACGTGCCACCTGTCGCATATTGGCACGTGACGGCGCCAAGGTCATTGCAGCGGATCGCAATCTGCAGTCGGCTCAGGAGACGGCCAAGCAGCTGGGCGCCGAGCGAGCCGCCGCTTTGGAGGTGGACGTCTCGTCGGCGCAGAGCGTCCAGAATGCGGTGGCCGCGGCGCTGACCCAGTTCAAGCAGGCGCCCAGCATTGTAGTAAACTCGGCCGGCATCACCCGTGACGGCTACCTGCTCAAGATGCCCGAGCGCGATTACGACGATGTGTACAGTGTCAACCTGAAGGGCACGTTTCTGGTGACGCAACAGTTCGCCAAGGCGATGATCGAGCAGCAGCTGACCGACTGCAGCATCGTCAATCTATCGAGCATTGTGGCGAAGCTGAACAATGTGGGCCAGGCAAACTATGCGGCCACCAAGGCGGGCGTCATCTCCTTCACGGAGGTTGCATCCAAGGAGTTCGGCAAGTTCGGCATACGAGTCAATTGCATTCTGCCCGGCTACATAGACACGCCCATGGTGGCGGTGGTGCCTGATAAGATCAAGCAGCAAGTGGTCCAGCGCTGTCCGCTGGGCCGCCTGGGCCAGCCCGATGAGATAGCCGAGGTAATTGCCTTCCTCGCCTCCCAGAAGTCCGCCTACGTGAACGGAGCAGCCATTGAGGTCACCGGCGGCCTTAAGTAAAGCCCTAAAAAAGCGGCTCGGATCGCTGCCAGAAAGAGAAGCAGTTTGCATTTATTTGTTATAGCTAAACGAATAAAAATTTTTTTTTTAATTTTTAGATAAATTTACTTGGTGATAAGCTTCGTTTGATTTATCGATCAGCTGTTGCTAATTGCTGATTAGCGACTTGCGCCATCTAGCGGCGAGCTTTGCAAGCACAGTTTGGCGCTAGTCGTCTTCAATTTAAAAAGCCAACTAAAGATTAGTGCAATTCAATCAAAATGTAGTCCCAACTAATGGCACTAATGGTTCTGGCAGCATTATGCCTAAAATGTATATACATAGATCTTGGACAAGTTGAGCGTGCACTTTTTTATACCCTGAACCCATTAAAAATGGGTATAAGGGTATATTGTATTTGTGCAAAATCCAAATGTATGTAACAGGCAGAAGGAAGCTTCTCCGACCCCATGAAGTATATATATTCTTGATCAGCATCAAAAGCCGAGTCGATCTAGCCATGTCCGTCTGTCAGTCCGTCCGTCCGTCCGTAAGTATGGACGCAAGGATCTCAGAACCTATAAGAGCTAGAGACTTGAAATTTTAGATGCAGATGCTCCTAGTTCCCGCGCAGATCGAGTTTGTTTCCGATAATCGGTAACTTACTCCGTTTCCAAGCAATCGATAAAAATCGATATAGATATCCTGTTTTTTGGGCAATTTTAGTAAATAATAAGAGCTAGACAAACTTGACATATAGCTTCTAAAATAGAATATATATATGCATTTGATGTTGGAAGAAGAAAAGGGAGCTCCCGACTAGAACCTATTACTTGCTTAATATTATGTTCATGCAAATGGATTGGGTATGCAAAGTAATTATATTGATTTAGATGAAGCTACTTATTTATATGGCTTGAATAAATCCAGTGGAGAGAGCTCGATTAGGACAGTACTTCGGTTAGCATAATTAATTGAATCTCACTTGAGGAGATATGACGTTCCAAAACGACATAACACCGCGCGGAGATGTGTCGTTTTGGAACGTCATATCTCCGCGCGGAGCTATTTCCCAAGAGCTATTACCCGAGAGCTATTACTCGGGGTAGGTTCGAATATCAAAACTTTTTTGAATATTTTTTTGAAAATCTCAGTAAATATCATCTGACTTTAAAATATTATACCTTTTTGAATTCGTACGGTTCCCTACTATCATATGGCATTCAAATATATTAAAAATTTATGGGTTGGAAAAAGTTGTTGACCAAAAAACGTTTCGTTGGTATAATCAATCTTTTCTGTTGATTATTTTAGACTATCTCGGCCAAGTAATCTCAGAGTCGAAGCATTCGCCAACCCATACAAGAGACCTCGCTGAGAGGTGTGTAGTCATAAGGCTCAAGAAAAGATCCTTTAGAGACCTCCTTCAACCATGACACAGGAGCAGCCCCAGAGCCCACCGACTACCTACGTGACGGTGCAGCCTTACTCAAAGAAGACGGCTTTGACGTTTTTTGATGATTTTTTTGAATATCTCGGCCAAATAGTGTCCGATTTTCAAATTTTATACCATTTTGGACTCGTAAGGATCAGTACTATCGACTGGCATCAAAAAATAGTAAATCTAAATTTTGACCCAAATCGACCAAAATGGCAAGGGGTTACATCACGATTTTTATCAAATTCGGGTTCGGTTCGAAAATCAAACCTTTTTTGATGATTTTTTTGAATATCTCGGCCAAATAGTGTCCGATTTTCAAATTTTATACCTTTTTGAATTTGTATGCTTTCCGGCGAAATTATGACGTTTGAAAACGACATAACTCCGCCGCTGATCATGGCGAGATTATGTCGTTTTGAAGCGACATAACTCCGCCGCTCTAAAAACGACATATATCCGCGGAAGATATGACGTTTGAAAACGACATAACTCCAATTTTGGACTCGTAAGGGTCAGTACT